AGTGGGCAGGCATGCTGTCCTCTCCTCACCTAGTGCTGAAATGGGGGGGGGAACACCTGCCGGGGCTATGGAAACAACGGAGAGCTCTCCAAACCCTCGGGAACTGTTCAAAGCAGAGAACTGGGGCCGAGTCTCCCAACAGAAGAGAGTGTTTAATGGAAGGTGAGACACCCCCCCCAGCCTTTCCCTCCTCCTCCTCCCCTGACCATTTTTTTGGCCCAGTGCCCTTTTTGTGCTGCTTTTCATCTCTTTAGCAACCTGGAGTCCTTGAAAGGAAAGTCCAAGAGACGCCCTAACCCTCCCCGCTGCATCTGTCCAAAGAGAAAGGTTGGCCAACCTAAAATTCCATGAATTTGCCCCAAGACCATCATGCTCCTCTGCCCCATGCCCGGCCCATCACAGTCCTGCAGCCAGCTCCTCACACAGCTGCCCTCCCAGGCTGAGGGCCAGTGGCCAGCTCGGCCACGCTCCAGATCTTCAGCTTGGGCGGCAGCGGAGGCTCGGCCCCCACCCTCCCGTGGCCTGTGGTGCTGGGGGGCAGCATCCTGGGGCCCTGCTCAGCCTTCAGGCAGGGGGTAGCAGCCCCACACTCCCCCCGAGGGCCTGGGGGCAGCCTGGCCTTTGGCCGAATGGCACCGGGCAGTGCCCTTCCCCTGGGGGCCTCTTCTTCACTGCCTTCCTCTTCCTGCTCCTGCTCCTGCTCCTCTCCGTCAGTCTTGGGGGGCCGGGGGCCCCAGCACGCCCGGTTCTCCTTCTTGAGGCGTCGGCGGGCATTGGCAAACCACGTGGAGACCTGGGTGAGACTCATCCTGCTCACCAGGGCCAAGAGGACCTTCTCCCCTTTGCTGGGGTAAGGGTTCTTCAGGTGCTGGCCCAGCCAGGCTTTGAGGGCCGCCGTGCTCTCCCGCGAGGGGCCTGCCTTGGCCTGCAAGGGATCCTCAGGTGCGCCTGGCTGCAGGAGGGGCGAGTAGAGCAGGGGGCCGGGCCAGAGCAATGGGGGGCCACTGGGCAGCTCACAGGGGGTTGGAACCTGGAACACACAGAAGCACAGAGGAGCTACTGAGAGCAGCAGCAGCAGCAAGCAGCAGGAGGAGACGGCGGCAGCGGTGAGAAGGGGGGGGCTTCTCTTCTGGCTCCCCAGGGGTTCCTGGGATCATCTCCATAAAGGGTGAGGCTTAGGGAGAGGGCTGGCCTAGGATCTGGCTCAGGGGTTGTGCCATTGTTACTAACCTCGGCTGCAGCCTCCAAACAGCTGCCCTGAAGGTAACCACCTCAAAGTCCTGGCAGCAGCGTCAGGGAGGGGGGAGGGGGCAGATGTGGGCGGGGGTGGAGATGAAGTCATAGCCGTATGGCAAACGTCCCCCCTGTGTTTATATGAAGGTCCCAGAACCAATGGCCACTGGGGATGGACCTGATTCTCTGGGCATGTGGTAGCCTCTCCTTCCTGGGGAGGATTCAAATGGTGGGTGACTGTCCACTTGTCATCAGGCTTCTTTGAGCCGTGGATGTCCCGCTGCAGCAAGGGCTTGGCCTTGAGGACCCTTGGAGACCCCGCCGGCTCTGTGGTTCTCAGAGACCAGAGCCTTCTCAAGAGCGCAGGAAGCAAAGGTCTCTGCATGGGCTGCAAGCAACATGTTGGTGTCGGTGTGAGAGCAACCCGAAGGTGACAGAAGAGTCTGTGAGATTCTGGGGCTTTGGGAACTCTTCCCCTGGCCGGGGGGTCATCAGGGCCAGACACAGATGGGGCGCGATGGGTGGGGGGTATGGGGAGAGACTGGAGGGGGCACTGGGACACTTTCTGGTGTCCTCCCCCCCCCGTCACTGCCGCCCTCAGCCTGTCCGTGGGTTTCCACCTTTTGCTCCACCCAGCCTTGACAAAAGATCCTGGAACATCCCGCTTAAGTTTTGGGCTCGAATCTGGATCTCTCCACCCCAACCCCTCCTCCACGCACACGCTAAGCCCCCTCCTCAGCCTTGCTCCTTGAAAAGCACGCTGATGAAAGGGGAGGGGGTGCAGCCACTTCCGAGCAGTACAGACACGCTTCAGGCCTGACACGGCTGGAATAGCCACACGAAGTATCTCCCCCCCACACACCTTGGGAGGGGCAGCGGCAGCGGGATTTGGGTTTTGCTCTTTCGCCTCTAGGTCCTATTTCAATGTTTGGTCGTGGCTTTGAAGTCCCATCCTCTGCCCACATATGGAAACAGGGATGCTGCTATCCCTTTGGCTCCCTGCTTGAGATGCCGGAGCGAAGTCTGCCTGGTTGTCCGGCATCTTGAAGCACACCAGTCGCTAGGCTGGACAGGAGCTTCTGCTTTGGAGCCCCACCCTGGAGACCTTCCTAGCTCGGCTGGGCTTTCGCACCCAGTTCTTGCTTGCTCAGAGTGGTATAAATATACCAGATGGGCGGGATATAAATCAAATCAAATCAATCAATCAATCAATCAATCAATCAATCAATCAATCAATCAATCAATCAATGCGCTCTCTCTTCTCTCTGGCTGAAGCACTTTCTCTGCCCCTGAAAAGCCTGAGGAGGGAGACGGCAGCTCTTCTCTTTAGGAGGGAAGGAAGGGACATTCCACCCAAAGCATCATTCAAGGGAAAACTACACACGCGCGTGCACACACGCACACATGCGCGTGCACACACACACCCCTCCCCACGCCTGCAGTCTTGCCCTGGCAGCCTCTTAAGAGGAAGGGATTGCGGGGCAGCAAAGAAACAGCCCCTCCCTCTGAGCTGCTGCCAGCCAGCTCAGCCCTCCGGGTGGCCCCCTTGCCTGGACTCCCAAGAGGGCTGCTTTGCCAGGAGAAAGTCTTGGAGCTTGCTGGGCACAGGAGGTCCCAGCTGGGTTCCCTGCCAGGGCATCTGCCAGCAGCCTCTTCTGTACGAAGGTTTCCCACCCCCACCCCTGCCCCCCTTCCTCTCATGAGTCTCCTTCCCTGCGCAGGTGCGGCTGGTCGTCCCGCCTGGCAAGGCTCCTCTGCTATCCTGTCACGTCTCGCTGTCTGTGGACGGAGGGGAACTCGTGGGGGGTGCTGCCACAGCCTGCTCTCCCCCCTCCCCCAAATCAGCAGAGCCTTTCTGCTCAGCCTGGGGACCCATTAAGGATGCCATCGGCACCCTGAGAGCGAATCCTAGCAGCAAAGGGGAGTAAAAAGAACTCCAGGGCAGCACAGAAATGGCGAGATTCCCCGCTACCGGACGCGATAAGTGCACCCCACGCTTTTGGCCAGGCCAACCGGCCACATCTTTTAGGGCTCCCACATACAACGGCTGTCAGCCAAGTGCCAGGAAAAGCCATGTCTTCCTTGGGGAACACTGGAAGGGGCGAAGGGCAGACAGGCTGGGGCACCTTTCCAGCCCTTGCCTGTCTTCCGCGCTTATCCTTCATCATCCTTCCCCTTGCAGATATTGTGTGGGTTTGTGCATGTCTGGACCAGGAGCTTTGATCTCCCAGCCCATGGCAGACGTCGCCGGCCCCCTTTTTTCTGGGCCTGACCTTCCCCCCTCCTATGACCCCTCGTGGAAACATCTCCCTGTCCTTGCCCCCCCACTTTGCCCCCCCCCGGCTTACCTGCTGGGAGAGGAGGCGGAAGGGTGGTGGGGGGAGCAGGCTGTAGCAAGGAAACGTGGGGTAGGAGCAGGGGAATTGGGGCAAGCGCTGGACCGGCTGCCCCCCCAGCGCTCCCCAAAATCCCTCCAGGGACCCGTTGCCTCCTGTGGGCGACTCATGGGATGGTGCTGAGGATGCCATGCTTCTGAGGGTGGTGGACTCCAGGCCAGGAGCTTTATAGGAGCCCAGGGGTGACCGTCCGGGTGATTGACAGCTGATTAGGGGCAGCAGCCGGGGGGGGCAGGCTCAGCGGGCTTTAAAGAAGCAGTGCCAGCCTTTGACAAGTGGGGCAGCTGCCACTCCCCTAGGGAGCAACAGCCACACACACACACACACACACACACACACAGAGAGAGAGAGAGAGGGAGAGAGAGAGAGGTGGCTCTGACTGCACACACCCTGGGAAGGCCCAGCAGCTGGGGAGCCAGGGGGTGAGGGCCACTGAGGCTGCCCAGGCCATGGGAAGCCCGCAGGTCTTCCTCTCCAGTTGCTGAAGACCTGCTGCTCAAGGTCCTCTTCTTTCGGATGGGAGGGTGTCTCTGGGGTGGGAGTCACTTATAGGCTCTGTTTCTGCCCCAGACCCACACAAGGGAGGGAACAACACGGGAGGCCACAACTACACTCAGGCAGCTGTGAACACTTCACAGCCTGGGAGCGAGCCGCACGGCAGCGGGCCCTGGGTGCTGGTCTCCAAGCGTCAGTTCCAGCACCTGCAGATTCAAGGGGCCCGGCCGGATCAACGCCCTGAAGGCTCGAAGCAGCACTTTTGAGCGGGGCCTGGAAACACACAGAGACCCACTCAGAGTTCGGTCCTGGAGGTGTTCTGTCGGCTGCAGCGCTGGCTGAGAAAGCCGCGGATCTGGCGGCCCCATGGCAGGAGGGCTGGGTTGTCCTTGCGAACTTTGGCAGCCACACTGCCGGGGGGGGGGGGGGGAGAGGAAAAGAACCTTCTCCTGCGACGGCCCCTCGCAACTCATCCAGCCCAGCACTGACTGTGGACACTGACCGGCAGCAGAGATGGTTCCACTGGGTTTCTGGCTGGCAGGGGATCTTCTGCAGAAAACCCTTTAACTCCAGCCAGGACCAGCCTCTTGGGACCGCCAAGTGTGGCTAGGAAAGACCAGCAGGGCAGCTTTTCCCCAGGAAGAGCAGGACATGGGCGGGGCGGCGGACGTCCAGAGAAATGGTCCCACCTCCAGCCATTGCGAAGGAAGCAAAGCCCCCCCCAACGCCCCCAGAAGAAAAGTGACCACTGCTGACCTGCACAAAGTGCCTTTATTGCCACACTGATGGAGACAGACTGTACACGGGGTGTGTGTGTGTGTGGGAGTATGAAGAGGCCCCCAAGCCAGGCAGGCTGTGAGACCAACAGCAGCCAGTTGAAGCCGAGTCCCCTCCCCACCTCCCGCCAACGCTCCAAAAGAGAGCAGGTCGAACGCCCACGTGAGGCCAAGGGCGGCTGACGGGTTAGCGGGAGAACTTGCGCACTGGACGGTAGGAGGGGGGCAGGCTCAGGTGGCCGGGGGCCTTCCCCTGCTCCGGGGGCTGCTGCTGCTGCTGCTGCTGCTGTGGCAGCCCCCCCTCCCGCCAGCCCTCCTGATCCGGCTTCTCCTCCGCCAGGTCGCTGGCCGAGCCCCAGGGTCTCCGAGGCCGGCCGCTGCTGTTCTTGGGCAGGAGGAGGCAGGCCCGCTTCCGGTTTCGGGTCCGCTCCCCACGGGTTGGGCCCAGCTCTTGGAGAGATAAGAAGGGACACCCATGGGCTCACCACAAAAGCCAGGCGTGCACGCCCCCCCGCCCTACGGCTGTGCTGAGCCTCAGGCCCCACGAGCCCTGCACACTGAACGAGAGGCCCCCGTGGGAACCTCAGGGCTGTAGGCAGGGGGGCGGGTGTTTCGGGGCAGAGGGCTTTCTCCCTCTTTTCTCATTCCCTCCTCCCTCTCACTTTCTACTGATAAACCTCCCCCCCCCCCTTTTGTGGGTGACAGGGGGCTCTTACGGGGCGTAGCGGGGGCTCTGTCCGAGGCCTCGGTGCGCAAGTAGTGCATGGCCAGGTGCCCGCTGTAATCCCGGATGTTCTGCCCGGCACCTAGAGGGTGGGAGAGGCAGGGTTGAGACAAACCAGGAAGGGGAACAAAGCCAGACGGGACTGGGGAACAGGAGCAAGGGGGCGGGTTGGGGGGGGGAACGTGCGCACGCCTCTGCCTGCCTCACCAAAGGTCCCGATGAGCAGCTCCATCAGATGCTGGTGGCCGTGGAGAGCAGCGACGTGGAGGGGGGTGTAGCCCTGAGGTGGGGAGAAGGGAGAACGCCCATTGAGGCGGCCGGTCCCAGAGGAGCCCAGACAGACCCACTCTTCCCCCCCCGCCACCCTACGGCCCCTGTTCCCCTGAGGTCCCTCCGGTCTTGCTCCCCGCCCTGCAAAAGGGCCCCGTGTCTTGAGGGTCCCCCAAATGATCCAGCCACATGTTATTTGTGGGGTCCTGGTGCGCCCAGCAGTACTGGATACTCACGCCCTGGAAGGGGAAGGAAAAAGGGAAATGCTCAGCAAGGGAGAAAGAAGGCTTCCAGGTCTTCCTGGGCCTCTCCCCCCCCCGTCCACCCCCTCTGCCCCCGGTGCTCACGGGGCACAGGCAGGGCAGAGGGCCTGGGAATCCCAAAAGAGCACAGGTGGTAGGCAGGCGCCACCAGGGAGCAACGGGCAGGGCCTACTTACATGCTTCCAGTGGGCAGAAGGGTTGGGCATCCCAGGAGCAGAGCAGGGGAGGAAGGGAAGAGAGGAAAGAAAGCCAGTTAGAGGCAGCCCTGAATGCCTTGTGGGGGGGGGACACCCCCCTCCCTACAGGCAGCGCCTGCCCCCCTCACTCACTGCGCGCACATTCACGTCGGCTCCGGCCTCCAGCAGGAGCACCACCAGCTCTTCCCGGCCGTGTTTGGCTGCCCAGTGCAAGGCTGTCTGTGGGAAGAGCGCAGAGAGTCACAAGGAGTCCCTCTCTCTGCCCCGCCGCACCCAGGGGACAGGGCTGGGCTCAGGGGCGATCTCTTGCCACCCTCCTCTCCACCCCACTTGGCACAGCAGGAGGCTTTCCCTCCAAACCCCCAGGGCCCCTCCCCCAGGGCCAAGCAGGACTTCCACAGAAGTCGGCATCACGGCCACCCAGCGGGCACCACAGCCGCGGGGCAGCCTGCATGATGGAGCGGAGGGCATGGGGGAGGGTGGGAGGGAGCCCGGTACTTACAAACTGTTCCACACCAGGCAGAAGCAAAGGCCGGCCGGCCGGTCAGCAAGGCAAGGAGAGAAACAGGCATCATCCATTAGGGAAGAATCCAAAGGGCAGAGGCCGAAACATTTGGGAGCTCAGCCCGACTCTTGGTCCCAGAATTGGGCCCCTCTTCCAGCAGAGGAAGGGGGCAGGGGCCAAGGGGACCCCCTAACAGTCCCCAAAGTAGAGGCTGCTGGTCTCATGTGGGAGAGAATGGATTTCGGAGTCAGGTGTGTCTTCCCCCCCCCCGCCCCTGCAGAAGAGCAGTGGGAGGGGGGGAGGGCGTCCATCAGGCACCTGGCAGGGAACCTGAGTGCAAAGCATCAGGCAGAGCCAGGAGGGGGGGCAGGGCAAGACGCGGACGCCCCTCAATCTGGATGCGGTGCTGTTCCCCACCCCCCACCCCCAGTCCAACTTACCCCCTAAGCCAGGAGATGAGCAGGAT